TGTTGAATAATGTTGTGTAATTTTACAAATTCTGATTTGTGAAGTTACATGTTAACTTGCTTGGTAAGAGTTGTAGATCCATGGATGTGTATCCTTTATATGCCACAAAAAATTGTTTTTGATCATGTTGGTTGACTTGCAAAATTCGGCCATGGCTTAAGTTTTTTTCTTTTTTTTTTTTAAAAAAATTTTTAATTGCACTTTATGTTCTTTTGATCTTTGTTTGAAAAACATGATGGTTATGGCACAAACATCAAGATTTAATTGAAATTTTAGTGTTTGATTGAAGTTGGCCAAATGAGTTTTGGGTTAAAATGTTGCTTGTTCAATATTTATGGCTTGAAGAATATGGTTCTTGATGATTAGGACATTGCATGGATGCTAATATGTCAATTTTGATGAAAATTGATGTTGTTAACATAATTTTGATTATGTGAAATTTTGGCCATGACAAGTTTGTAAATTAATTGTATATTAATTAGAATACTTGTTTAGACAATTTAAAAGTTTTAATGTTTTAATAGTGATTAAAATGTTAATGGATGCATGGAGATGAATTTTGTTCATGTGAGAGATTATTGCACGTTTTTCAATTAGGTGTAAAAGGGTTGTTTAATCTTCTTTGGCATAATTTGTCATACTACATTATGTTTGTTAAATATGTGATTTAATGGACATTAAAGGGTATTAAGATAATTTGCCTTAAAGAGTTAAGGGTAAAATTGTCTTTATACCAAGAACATGAAAAGGTAGTGTGAACACAATTTAATTGTTCATTATGTCTTTGATAAGATTAATTGAATCAATCATTAATGTATATTGATATTCCATGTGATAAGATAAGCATAAATTTACTCCACCAACTTTTCATTACCAAAAGTTGGTTGTATAATTGCTTATTTAATGTAAGTGTTACATTATCCCCTAAAGTTTCATTAGTGATTATTAATGGGCAATTTATTAGATATAATTGATATATGGGGAATATATGTGTTATATTAATACAATGCATATTTGTTATGTTTGACAACATGTGATGCTGTATTTAAGCATGTAATATGCTTGTATGATTTATGCATATTAATAATGCCATTGTTTATAGTTAAGTTTTAATATTTATATGAAGTGTTGAAACTTAATTTTATGGCATGACATTTAGTTTTAGGTTTGTAGTTTGGGGTTTATGTTTTATATTTAGTTGATACATATGGTGGACATGCATAGGCTAGATATTAAAACATTAACCTAAACCAAAACCTAATCTTTAAATTTTCCTTAATTAAAATATTAAGTCTCAGCCTTCCATTATGAGTCGATTAATTCTTTGCCATAGAATTTGAGATCCCAAGATTTATATCTTATGAGGGATGCTAATTTATGACGTAGAATTGATTGTCTTAGTTCTTGGATAGAAATTCTCATTGTACCCAAGATTTCTATCATGTGAGGGTATAATAGAAATTATATTTTAAGAAAGCATAATGGGTCGGATTTAACTAGTCTAGGGTACCAAGATTTCTATTATTTGAGATATCCGAAACTAGAGGCAAGGAATTGAATCATAGCTTATATGGTGATATAAAAAGAAATAGTTTCCTACTTATTGAATTTAATGGACCAAGATTTCTATTATGTGAGGTTTATTAAATTTGATAAGAATTTGATTCCCCACCCCACTAGAAATTTTAATCCAGTGAAATTTCCAAATCTTATCCAGGGAAGTATAGGATTTGAATAAAATAGTGGGAGCTAATTAAATTAGCGAGAGCTAATTAGATTAGCTTAATGAAAGACATATGTGACAAAACACTCATAATTTTTTAATTTCCTTGCAGCATCTCTCATAAAATATTAAACCGTAAAAGATGAATAATCTACTGTTGAAAATCCTGGATGAGAACAACAAGTTAGTTGGCCATAGTAATTTCAATGATTGGCTGAGGAAACTGACAATAATATTGAATTCAGAAAAAGCAGCCTACGTTTTAGAAATGCCCATGCCTGAACCTCTTCCTTCTGATGAGCATAATGAGTATAAAAAATGGAAGGAAGATGAACTTAAAGCTCGCTCTTTTATGATGGCATAGATGAGTGATGAGCTCCAGAGAAAGTGTGAAGAGGTGAAAAGTGCTAATGAAATTTACCTCACGTTACAAGAGTTGTACCGTGAAAATTCAAGGATAAACAATATGAATTAAGTTCAACTTTATTTGGAATGAAGTTGAAAGAGGGTGTGTCACCAGAAGAGCATGTCATGAAAATAATTAATATTCTGGGACAATTGCATGCCATGAAAATTGAAATGCCAGACACCCTCAAGGTGGATTTAGTTCTTCAATCTCTACCTTTAGGTTTCATACCTTTCATCAACAATTATCATCTAAATAGGATTGAGAGAAAACTTCCTGATTTGTTCAATGAGATTCAACAGTTTTATGATTAGGAAAGAAAAGGGAAAAGACAAGAGGTTGTTAGTATGGCTTCTTCCAGTAAGACAAAGAAGAAAAAGTTAATGAATTCCCAAAAGAAATTGAGAACAAAACCCAAGGGAAATGGGTTTAAGAAAAAGGCCACATCTCAAGCCAATAAATCTAAAGAAAAGGGCCAATGCTTTTGGTGCAAAGAAAAAGGGCACTGGAAGAGGAATTTTCCTCTCTATCTAGAAAGTCTTAAGAAGACTAAAACTCTTCTCATTGAGAAGACTGGATCAGGTATGTCCCAATGCTATGTCATTGAATTTGAATTAAATGTTAGTTCAAATAATTTATCTTGGATATTAGATTCAGCTGCTACTTCGCACATTTATGTTGGTTTGTAGGATCTGCAGAATAGTTATGCTCTAGCAAAAGATCAACTCATGTTAAGAATGGCGAATGGAGCAAATGTTGATGTTGAAGCCATGGGAACATGCAGTTGATGCTTCTATTGGGACACCTTTTGTATTGGTACAATGTCTTGTATTTTGCTAAAGCCATTAGAAATATAATTTCTGTTTCTTTATTATGTAAATATGGTTATAGTGTACAGTTCAACAGAAATGAATGTTTAGTTTATTTTGGAAAAAAACTTGTTGGCAAAGCTATCAATATCAATGGTTTGTATGTGCTAGAATTAAATGGCCATAGCATAATGAATTCCATAACTAATAAACGAACTCAAAATGAAATTAATCCTAAATTACTTTGGCATCATAAATTAGGTCATATAGGAGACAGAAGAGTAATCCAGTTAGGGGAAAGTGGAATTTTAAGTTCATTGGGTTCAAAACCCTATCCGACTTGTGAATCTTGTCTTCAAGGAAAAATGACCAAGTCACCCTTTAAGAGTAAAAGGGAAAGGGCAATACATACAAATGTATTTGGACCATTTAATGAAATAGCCAGAGGAGGTTTTCATTACTTCATTACCTTTACTGATGACTATTCAAGGTATGGGTATTTGTATTTAATGAAATAGAAATCAGAATCTTTTAAAAAGTTCAAAGAATTCAAGAATGAAGGAAACAAATTGGAAAGAGTATTAAAATTCTATGATCACATCGTGGAGGTGAATACTTAAGTATGAAATTTTGAGATTTCCTAAAAGAAAATGGAATTATATCACAATTAAGTCCTCCATTTACACCACAACACAATGGTGTATCTGAAAGGAGAAACGTACTTTATTGGATATGGTACGATTGATGATGACTTTTACGGACTTGCCGATTTACTTGCAGGGGTATGCCCTACAAACAGTAGTGCATATTTTAAATAGAGCACCATCTAAATCAATCCAGAAAATACCATATGAAGTATGGTGTGGCAAACCACCTAGTCTTAACTATTTAAAGGTCTGGGGTTGTCCAGCTTATGTCAAGACTGTCAAAACAAATAAGTTGGACGTAAGATCTGAAAAAGGTCAGTTTATAAGGTATCCTAAAGAAAGTTTAGGATATTATTTTTACTTCCCTACTAATAAAAGAATCTCAATCAGTAGAAACGCATATTTCCTTGAGAAAGAATTCTTAGAAGAAGGAGGTGCGGGAAGAAAAACTGAACTCAAGGAATATTCCAAGGAGTCTCAAATCGATAATACTCAGATAGGTGAACTAGATCAAGAACCTTTTCGCATGACACAATGGTTCCAGCCTATAAATCTTCTAGAATATCTCAACCTCTAGAGAGATATTATGGTTTTCTACATGAAAAAGTTTTTGAATCTTTTTCAGTGGGAGAAGTTGATCATGGAGATGATTCTAAAACTTATGAAGAAGCGATATTAGACATCAATTCTGGAAGATGGCTAGAAGCGATGAATTTTGAAATAGAATCCATGCACGCTAATCAAGTTTGGACACTTGTTAACCCTCTAGAAGGAATAGTTCATATTGGTTGTAAATGGGTCTTCAAGAGAAAGGCTGGCAAAGATGGAAAGGTAGAGACCTATAAGGCTAAATTGGTAGCGAAAAGTTATACTCAGGAACAAGGGTTGAATTATGAGGAAACGTTTTCACCAATTGCAATGCCTAAATCCATCAGAATCTTGCTAGCCATAGCACTACACTATGATTATGAAATTTGGCAAATGGATGTCAAGACCGCATTCCTCAATGGATTTGTTGAGGAAAACATATATATGCAACAACTTGAAAGTTTTGTATCTAGTACTGAAAGACATAAAGTGTGCAAATTACATAGATCCATTTATGGATTGAAGCAAGCTTCTAAAAGCTGAAATATCTGGTTTGATGAAACCATTAAGACTTTTGGTTTCATAAAGAATCAGGATGAACTGTGTGTATATAAGTGGGTAAAAGATCATATCTCGATTTTCCTCATATTATGTGTAGATGACATATTGTTAATGGGAAATGATATTGGGATGATGATCGAAGTTAAGATATGGTTATCAAAGAGGCTTTCTCAATGAAAGATCTGGGAGAAACAAATTATATCTTAGGAATTCGCATCTATAGAAATAGAGCGAAATGATTAGTAGGGTTATCTCAAAGCATGTATATGGAGAAAATGTTGAAAAAGTTCAACGTGCAAGACTCCAAAAGAGGCTTTTTGCCTTGCGGTCATGGACTATATCTTTCTAAGGATATGAGTCCTAAGACTGATCAGGAGCGACAACAGATGCGTAATATACCCTACGCTTCAGCTGTAGGTAGTCTTATGTATGTAATGCTATGTATAAGGCTTGATATAGCCTATGCTATAAGTGCTGCGAGTAGATATCAATCAAATCCAGGAGAGAAACACTGGTTAGTAGTTAAAACAATCTTTAAGTACTTGAGAATGACTAAAGATTTAATACTGAGTTATGGAGGTTCAGAATTAAAAATTCAGGGATACTCAAATTCTGATTTTCAATTAGATGTGGATGATAGAAAGTCTACATCCGGATTCATCTTTACATGTAATAGAGGAGCAATTAGTTGGAAAAGTTCCAAGCAGTCGACCACTGTCGACTCCACTATAGAAGCTGAATATATTGCCACTTCAAAAGCAGCAAAAGAAGGTGTGTGAATATACAAATTTGTAGCTGAACTTGACGTGGTTCCGAACATGAGTTATCTAATAACCTTGTTCTGCGACAATAATGGTGTTATTGCACAAGCAAAGGAACCAAGAGCACACCAGAAATTAAAACATATTTAGCATAAATATCATATTTTGAGAGAGCTTGTTGAAGCTGGAGAAATTTTGGTGTAGAAAACACCTTTAGCCGATAACCTAGCTGACCCATTTACTAAAGCGATGGCACATAAGCAATTAGATCATCATCTTGAGAAGATGGTTATTAGATACCACAACGATTGGCTTTAGTGCAAGTGAGAGTTTTGTTAGTGTATGCCCTACTCCTTAGTTTTTATGTGTGACTTCTTAGGTTTACTGTGGCCTTGCCATGGGCCCAATATCATAGTCTATTCCGATATGTTTTGTCATAACTCTTTATGAACAAAACTCCCAACGATTGTGTTAGGCATCTAGCAATGCTCCATAACCCCTAAGTTACAATGAAGATATACTCCAATGAACCCTTTTATAATCATACGTGCTATATAATCAAATCCTTTTGTTGTCTAATCCCAATTAAGAATAGATTCATGATATGTCAAAATCCTTATCTTAATTTTATATCAAATTGACAATCAATACATATGGAACGTGTCACCATGAAACAACCTTTCAGGTAACATTTTATATACCCCGGCCGGAGATTTCCCTTTTCCAATGTATCTTGACATTTGTCTAGGAACTTGATATCAATCTATATCAAGTCAACGGATCCCATCAATTGACTATCACTTGTCCTCACACATAAACAACACATGGCCAAATCGGCTTATTAACACATGACATGATTAGCCTCGTGTTTATACACCATATGAACCGTATGTGTTTATGTAGAATCCAACCGTGATATCTTAGGTCTAAGGATTAATAATACACTAGTACGATCTTATGATGAATCATTGACTACATTTTAAATGTCCATGTGATTCATCATAAACGACCATATTCGATAAACAGTTCACCAACCGCTTATCCATGCCAATGCCCTAGTGATATAACTTTTATAATCACCCACACTAATATCATCACATGATATTCTATGAAGGCATTCAGCATGCCTACTATGTAATATTATTGCCCAATTAATATTACATATGTAGGGAATACTTTGATGATTTTGATCTTCTAAAGATTTGTATCATTTGGACATTTCACATGTAATACATATATATAAATGAAGCAATAAACCACATGTGAAATAAGAATACTTTCTTCTATTGATAAGATAAAAATGTATATACAAAATATATACGTTAACATATATACAAAACATAATGCCTTGGAACCGACGATATAGTGAAATCACTTTTCCTATTCTTTCCCTGGACCCCGCGACTAATAAAAATATTCACTTCTTAAAATATCCAATATACGTAGGTGGTAACAGGGGAAGGGGTCAGATTTATCCCGACGGGACCAAAAGTAACAATACAGTTTATAATGCTACAGCGGCAGGTATAGTAAGCAAAATCATACGAAAAGAAAAAGGGGGGGACGAAATAACCATAGCCAATGCATCAGACGACCGTGAAGTGGTTGATATTATCCCCCTAGGACCAAAACTTCGTGTTTCAGAGGGCGAATCTATCAAACTTGATCAACCATTAACAAGTAATCCTAATGTGGGTGGATTTGGGTAGGGAGATGCAGAAATAGTACTTCAAGACCGATTACGTCTCCTATTGAAGGGAGTTTTCTTCTTCAAGGATTTTTTTCCTTAAGGGAGTCCATCTATTTAGAAAGTTAATATTTGTGTGGGATATACACATGGTGAGGGTAAAAGGGTAAAAGCATGTATGAATAAGGGCTAATGACTTTTCTCTTCAAAGATTATCCTAAGAAAACACCTATAATTGCAAAGTAAATGAATTTTAAGATGGTTTTGAGCACAACATTTGTTCTCCTTAAAAGCTTCAGACCAGTCCTAGAACTTAGGCGATATCATGGGCAAGCCCAAAAAGGTAACACATTTGATGAGCATTTAATGTTGCTGACCTTTTCAATGAAATCTTGAGAATTTAGTTGAAAGAAAGCAGCATGACAATTGCATAAGATGTATCGTTAAACCAGAATGTTTGAACAAATGAATTAGTGTTGTATATAAAACTGCAAAGCTTAATCTACTAAGTCATTTAAGAGGACTACTAATATGGATGTGATTTATCAAAATTAATTAGGATTGATATTCATTTATTTTTTCATTAATGCTAGCAAAATAACTTTAAACCTAATCTTGATAAGATAATATCTTAATGAGGATATACAACAGATTGGATTTGTTAGATTTTCTAAATCTCTAACTTTAAATGCTATTAAATACTAAATCTCACATTTCATATAATGTAGATTTTTTTTTTTTTTTGGTTCAAAATTTGTGCTATAAATACAATATGTACATTGATTTATTGAAACTCAAGTTTCAAATTTGGAAGTCATGACTTATAAGCCAAACTTGCCATTGTTCTTCTCTTTCATCATCTTTGTAGTACATTTTTTGTGTTTGGAGTCAAAACGCCTTCATGGCTTTCGAGAAATGCAGAAGAATATTCATAATCTTGATTTACATGAGCTTAATTGTCATAATTACAACCTTCAACAATGTCAAAAGTTGTTAACGGATGGTGGTGGTCTTACTGATCATTCATGTTGTGATAGTCTAATCTTAAGAGGACCAAAATCCACAAGAATTAAAAGAGAATTACCAGGAGGACCTGATCCTATCCACAACCCATCGCCCATAGAGAGAGAAGTGCCAAGAGGACCTGATCCTAACCATCACCCATTTCCCGATTTTAGCCGTCACCAGTTGCCCATGAAGAGAGAAGTTCCAGGAGGACCAGACCCTAGCCATAACCCATTGCCCATAAAGAGGGAAGCACTAGGAGGATCAGACCCTAGCCATCACCCATTGCCCATAAAAAGAGAAGTACCAAGAGGACCAGACCCTAGACATCACCACCCATTGCCAATAAAGAGAGAAGTACCAGAAGGACCTGATCCTATCCAGAACTCATTCCATATCGAGAAAAAAACAATTGGGGTACTTGATCCTCGTAATAACTCATTGCCACCATAAGGACATGATGAAGTGTAATATACAGATTATCGTATTATAACTATGATCCATGAATAAAATTATAAAAAAAATTCTCAATATGAAACCCATAGGTTTTGTGCATTTGCATTATCAATATCTTTCTTATCTTCGTTTTTTTATACAAAGATACAATTTGTTGTTAAATTGTTTAAACATGATTAAAGGCAAGGATCAAAGTTATTGCTTATATAACTTTGTATTAAGATTATTATTCATGTTCTAATTGTTTTGGTAATACAAATGTGGTAGAAGGTACGTATCAAATGCTAAATAAGAGCATGTGTTACTTTTCTTATATTCTACCACAAGAGCAAAAGATAAACAAAGAAAAAAAATCTTATTGGATTTCATACTTTCTTGAAAAAAGAATCCTTGAGCACCATATTGCAAACAAAAAGTATGTGTGAGTGTGTGTGTGTGTATTTCTACAGTGCATTAATTATGTAAGTTGTATTGAATCTTGACATTCCAAAGCTCTTTGATTCAATGACTCATAAAATGTGTTATTTTGTGTCAAAAAAGTGGTGCTCCTGAACTTTCCCCACATATATATTTTAATTCTCACTTTTGTCTCCTAAGGGATACATAGGGATCAACTTGACTGGTATTAAGAGTTATTGGTGTATGAGCCTTCGCCTATCCTCATTGCATAGAAAAGGTTTTCCTATTGAAGGAAGTTTTCTTCTTCAAGGATTTTATTCCTTAAGGGAGTCTATCTATTTAGAAAAGTTCATATTTGTTTGGGATATGCACATGGTGAAGGTAAAAGGGTAAAATCATGTATGAATAAGGCCTGATGATTTACTTGAATATTCAAAGGAATGCAATCCTAAGTAAAGAAAGAAGGTCCAATGCCTTAGGAGGGTCTTTAGGTCCTGACTCTTGTTTGATTGCTTTGGATTTAGGACTACAATGAGAGGCCAATGACTTTTCTCTTCAATGATTATCCTAAGAAAACACCTATATGTTGTCAAGTGAATGAATCTTAAGATGGTTTTGAGCAAGGACAGAGGGCGGCGGGTCAAGGAGGGTCAGTTGATCCTCCTTGAGTTTTAAATTTTTTTGCTAAGTTTTTTACAAAATTACCCTTATATGAAAAGTAAATATAAAAAAACCTTCAAGATGTAGCCCCTTTTTTGCTATAAATAGGAGTCTTTATATGAAAAGTAAAGTTTACCATACTCCTACAACCCTATCACTATAAATATGAGTCTTTAGCTATTTTTATGAGGAGAGATAGAGAGAGAATAGAGAGAAGATTAGCTACTATTTGTAAATCAAAACAACAACATTTGGGTTTTTGGTTCATTATCTAGGGAAGTTTTCTTTTATCTTTTTCTTGAACTTATGTTTGTAATGATAGTTTCTTTTAATTCAATTATGAACTAAATAATAGTTTCTAAGGCTAAGATATGTAGCCCAATTCTGTGAATATGTGTTGATCTATTGTTGTTAATTTTTATTAAGTATTCTTTCTAAGTTTTATTATGGTTCTTAATGCTTCAATTCTTTTAAGCATAAGAGTTGATTGATAAAATGGATTAGGTTAAGATCGAGAGATGAAATCTAGTTAGTCTAATGTAATAAAACCATAGGTTGAGTGAATACTAGAGATAGATTACCGCAATCTGTGAGGCTTTGACAAACTCCATATAACTTAATGATCTCTTAAGACTTAAATCCAATTTAGAGATATCTTGGGTTAGTAATAAATGGTTAATTCAGTAATTATTTGAGAGAAAGTTATTAGAATTCTTGGAGTTTGGCCTATAGAAAAAGCTTAATAATATTAGCAATAATTATTGATACATAAGAGTAGAATTTGTGTGAAGTCAATGCCCTAAGTTTAGTC